GTCACTGTTAACCTATATCGCTTGAAATTCGCCAGAAAGTTGTTGATTTAATACCGAAGTTTTGGAGCCTCATTTAAGCTTTCAAGGTGAATAAAGAATTTTCAATTCGAAATTTTCTTTAAAGGGGATTACAAAATAAAAAAAGAAATCAAGAACAACGGTCAGTGAAGTATTAAAGACGAAGACTTCATAAGTCTCAAATTACATCTGGCTAAGAAATTCCGAAATTAAATCAGATGTGAACGAATTTGATATCTATAGCAAATTATAACACCATATTTGCTGCGCAGCACTCATAAACGAACGAAACGAATGTCAGATGAATGCAACGGAACGAATTTAATAGAAATCTACAAACTAATTTTCAAATCGAACAAGATTTTTAATGAAATCCAGAACAGAAAAACATTAATTAGGAAGACTAAAGAAGTAAAAATATAACTATCGAAAAAAAAAGAAGTTTCGAACTAGATGGTGTTTTGTGTCATGACATATCCACATGCCAGAATCGGAGTTGTGTCGAAATCTTCAAAGTCAAATATGCAACCACCGCACTAAATGTATCCCACCTTATGCTATTAGCTGATTTCAGCAAGCTCATTAGAAGCTTCCTATGACATGTCTCATTAGTAGTTGGTATCAGTGCAAAAACGAAGTGGAGCTAACAATTTGTCTTAACTGTGTTCACTACACACAGTAAACGTCTTGACCGGGCACATAGATAAAACTGATTGGACATATCCTTAGTAAATCACATTTCTTTTCCCGACCTTTAACGTATTAGGATCGCCTCCACTTCTCCAACAGTGAACATCATCCTAACCAAGCAGCTTAATCATGTTTTCTTGAATCCATCAAACTGGAACTCTTTTGAAGTATTCTCGATCTGCATCTCCCGAAGAACAAGAAATTCATTTATCTTCTCCGAGACAAATTAACCCTAACATTGTATATATGCATATAGGATCCATAACATTTGAAAGATAGAAGTATATAGTTAAAGAAAATGAGGCAAAACTGAAAACCCACTGGTGCGATCTAACATCTCATGCAAGGATTTTACTGTCAAGTTACTGGAACTTACTGGGACTGTTAGAGTGAATGAGGAAATCAGCAGATAATCGTGTACCTATTCCCGAAGCAAATGCGCTAGTCTTTGATTTCGACTGGGGAAAACAGTATCAATTTTGAGAAAAGTACCAACTTTAAGATTTCAGAACCTTGACTTTGATCTCCTCCTTAATTTTATTCCTCTAATTCTTTTCTTTCATTTTGGTACAACGGATTTGAATTGTATACACATTGGATCCGTGGAATATCTCTATTTCTGCTAAGATTCTTGACTAAAAGCAACTACTTCAGACGTATCTTCATCAGTTCCCATTTTAAAGACTTCAATTTCTTCGCGAATTGAATGTTGCGTTTGAGTCGATTTTGGTTTTCTTGATTTCTACGAGATCTATAAAATTGATGCCACGATGACGAATGAGGAACTTCCTAAGAAACTTTATGGTATCTTGGACTAGCAAACATGAAAAGCTGTCGCTTTCAGTATTCTTGTCCGAAGAGACAAAAATTTGGCCAGAATCAAGAATCTAAGTTTACTTTTTCCATGTCGAAAACATTTCAAAAAAGGAATAAAGCAAAAAAAGATTAAAACAGAATACGGTAATTAACATCAAATCTTAATTCATTTCCTTTTATGATCCTAAACAGATATCGGAGAGAACAAATAATCGGTCTGCTGGAAGTACTAACATCAAAACCATCCAGGTAGCAGTGCATTCTCCTGTGTAAATTTGCCGAAGAAAATGAGTTAAAGTTCAATTAAATTTATTCCAAGTCTCTATCGTCGAAATATGAAACATAGCAATTAGCTTTGCAATGAAAAAGAAATGGAAGAGCTCAAGAAAACTTAAAACCTATTTCACATCAAATCAAATGTCATAAATCTTTCTTAACTCGATAGCAGTGAATTTCGTTGCACTCGAATTTGAGCTTCAAATTAACTGCATCAATAATTGAATGCACATTATAACTTGCACTTTGCAAGCATTTTTCGTGCCATGAACCGATTATAACGCAACACCGATGCGTAAAAGTGTTCACATCTGAACTGACATTCTGGCACAAACTGATAAACATGCGATCCAACTCGATTAACATCTAGAATGAGTTTATTATCAAACTATTAAGAGCTATTTAAATATGCTCTTGGATAGAAATAATAATGATAAACCATCCAAAATTATGAATGTATCATAATCCAGTCATTTAGCCAAGCTCAATTCGGACCGTGAAAATGCATCCTTATTTCCTGCATCCTCATTTTGAATACATATTCCTTGACAGGAAATTATCAAATCATCTTGATTTTCTCTAGAAATTAATTTGATATATCCGACAAACATTAATGCCTAACCTAGCAACCTCTTCTTGATGATCGACAAATAACGAAGAAGTTCGGCGCAGCTGTGAACATTCTTCCGCTGTAGATTTTCGAGAATATTTTAAAAAAATATCATCAACCTTCCACTTTTTGACATATAACATTAATCAGAAAATCGGTCCTATCTTCTAGTCATATTGACCATTCTTTTACAGCAGCGATATGATTTCAGATTAAGAAAATTAAGAACTTGCTCACATACTTTATCATAACCGTAAATTGCCAGATCTTCTGATATTCCATAATGAAGTCAGTAAGGCAAAAGAGTATAATAATGTTTAACTGGACAAAGAAAACTTACAGGACTACAGCATATTAGCTGACTAAACGCCAATGGAGAATTCTCTTTAGAACACAATAATGCAACATTTTCATAACACAGAGAACAGAATGCCATGAATGAGACGGTAAAGCGAGTCAGCATTAACGAAGAAGAAGGAATTCTTATTTGCAACTTTGAATCCTGCAAAGTAACAGTCACTTTCCCTCTAATTCAACATCTTGACCATGGGCCTATAATTTACGCTTCCTCTTAACAATTTCTCTACTTTCGATGATTTTTTAGAGCAGTATCTTAACCTTCGAAACTTTCAAACTTTCTTCCCTTCAAAAGTTTAGTCTGTTCTAATTAAAGGACTTGATTTTTAAATATTTTGTATCACTAAACGATTAAAAAATTGGTAATATATCTAAATTATTCATCCTATTAGAAGTGAATTCGACCAAAGATATCCCACAGGAACGAAACTCTAAGAATTACGGAAAGATTGCTTCAAACAGAATTACTTTTTTGTGTTTGTATTGAAAAATCAAATTGTAAGAAGTAGCGTAACCTGCCGATTCAATGCACAAAGAAATATTTCTTCGAGGAGTGATATCCAGTCAATTTGAGATTTGAGTATAGATGGACTGATTTCATGTGCTGACTTGCGTTGTAGCGCTGTTTCCAGTTCTTCAAAACTCACATCAGCGCTATATGAGGAAAAAGTAGAACAGATATCTAGGATTTCCTAAAAATCATTATTTTTTGAAAACAATATGTAAACTATCAGCAAACAATAGATTCGAGAAAGATGAGAAAAAGAATGCATAGTGAAGGACCGAGATATTGGAATTGAATCAAAACAGTGATTTGCTTTACTAAATACAAAAATTCAAAGAATCAGAAATCAAGAAGACTTAAATCTTACCAGGGAGGTACATTTCAACAATGCCAAAGTCTTTGGTTCTAAAAATAGTGTATGTTTTATGCTCCTTTCTGATGGTGCATCACCCATCTTCAGGATCTCTTCCAAACTGCACTCGTTCGCGCAGAAATCATCAACCCACTGACATGAATCGCAAATCCAACAAGCCAATATGTCAAATTTCTGCTCTGCTACAGCATTATCCCCTTTTATAAAATCGTCGACTATCTGAAAAACCTTATTTTCAAAACAGAATTATTTTAAAAACGAAAAACAGTTTCAAAATTAGGTACTTAACATATAAGTCTACATAAACTATGACACTGCTCAAAACAATTCGAAATCATATTACTGCTTTTAACTTACCATATTTTCAATCAAAATCTGAGCCTCTTGAGTGGTGATATTTCGCAATCCTTCGATAAAACCACCAAGCTTTGAAAATTTCCATGGATTAGGTCTGAAGAACATAGATGCTGAGTAGATTTGGAAACGCTTCAAAATTTATGGTGAAATTTTAGAGTGACAAAAAAAAGCTAAACCGATAAATCACCTTTTATGGAGAGTGAAAGAAGCTGAGAAAAGTTCAGCAGCAAATTTTTCAAAATTTGATGTGGTCATCATCTCTTCATAAATTTCTGCTGCTTGTATCTTCTTCTGTTCAATGAAATCTTTCAAATCATTCTGGAATTAGTTGACGAAAAGCAAAAATGGGAAATGATAGGAAGAATCTGCCTGAAACAGTGATAGAAATAAACTGGTCCTTCAGGAAAAATCATCAAGAAAATACCCCGACTTTATCAAAAGTCGCTATGTTGAAGTAAATCATTTGCATCTGATGCTCCACAAAAAATTTCGAACATTCCAACAAAGTCTGGAAGTAAAAAGATTGGTATGTAGATATTTTTAGAATTTAGACAAAAAACAATTTCCACAATACAAGGACCTTCCTGCAAGACGTAAATAATTCTGTGCTTTCTTCATATTGCTCGCATGATGTGTAACTTGTGCATAACAGATAAACCTGAAATAAATGATAAATCTGAAATAAATGACGTTGTTCGAAGCTTCTTGAAGTCTCAATGAATTCTGTCGTTTAATTAAACTCTCTGAAAGTTTTAACGGGAAGGTTATGGAAAGAAAGAAATCGAAAATTCGCAATAATCGAATCTGACATTAACCTCAGAATTTCCTGGTTTACTGCATGAAGGTTTTATGACATGAACCTCTTTGAAGAACATAAGCAGACGACTCAACAACGTTATGGTATCATTAAGAAATGATGTGTACATTTTTACAATAAATGTACCACCGGTTTGGAGTAGTGATAATGATATATCAATCTCTTTCTGTAATAATGGAAAGATGATGCGTTCTTGCTCTGCCGGGTTGTCCTGAAAAGGTGATTTTTCCAGGTAATTCAAGGTAAAAGCAAAGATAGAGGTAAAATTAAGTAATTAAAAATTAAAGGTAAAAAGGTAATTAAAATTTTCAAATGATGATGATGTAAAGCAGTACCTCTCAATTTTTTCAACAAAATATAAACTTAGTTACAACATCGAAGAATAAAGAATGCTGAGCGACCATTTTTTTCAGCTAATTCTGCATTAAAAAGTAGTTGCAAAAACAAAGATGACTCAAATTAAAAGGCAGAGTAGCGTTGCCATGCCTTCTCATTATTGCAAAGTTTGTAAAATAACTTCAATAAAAAGTAAGCAAGATCACCTGGCAATACACGCTCCCATCTGCAGTTATTAAAGAGAATTTGCCAACTTTTTCAGCAATACTGCTAATGTATTCGTCGGTCCATTTCAATATATTACCACTATTGTCAGGACCAAAAAACCAGTTCGGATATGTACTTGTGATCAACTCATCATCCAGAAACATGTCAAATGATGAATTCCACTCGTAATGAGGATTCAAGCTTAAAATTTAAATTCCAGATTTTTGTTATGTAATTTTACATAACGAAATAAAATTTTAGCCTCATAATTTTGGCCATCTTTTCTAGATTTTCATTCCTTAACTTATCATTCTTTTCCACATTTCCGCATCTTCTATATCTCTCTTCTTCATCTTCTTCCTCAACCTTAAAAGATTTTTTTCCATATTTCTGGTATGGAATAAAAGCATCGAATGAAGCAAGTCTACAAAACTTTTTAGAATGCTTACTTGGTTCACACTGTCTCCTCGCTTTTAAAGAAGTAGCTTTGCCGTTTAATACATGTTTAAAACTAAACATAAGTTGAAAGATTCAAAATAAAAAAGCACACCTGTTTGCGTACCACTGCCAAGGGAGCGTATTTTTCTGCAATATCAAATAAACATTGAGAGCCGAAATGAAGGCACCAGGTGATTCGCATAAGTGAAAACTTCTGGAACATAATCGCGTTACATCTTTGGAAACGCGATGTTTCCAAAACAGTTTAAAATCAAACGCCCTATCACTTTTGTGTTTATCTTTTTTATTTTAACTGGCCTAACTAAAATAAATTTCTGATACCTCATTTGCCGAAAGAGAGACATTATACCTGATATGTTTCGTATCACTACAAAGAAAGCAAAGATGAGAGAAGCGCATTAAAATTTCGTAAAATTTGAAGAAGGCTTGAGTACTATATTCCGTGCTATAGGCACTCTTTGCACGTTCGCGAATAAAAGAACGTAGCGGATGCGTAAATGAAGTATGTTTTCGCCAGTCGTCTAGATGATTACTCGGGATCATTTCCTAAATATAATAAGCAAGGATAATGCCATATATTCTAAAACGAAAAATGACGAAACTTACCACAAGGTCGAGACTCTCAAAACTCTCAAAATTTTTAACAGGAAATAAAAACAAGTTCCAACGAGTGCTCGAAAACATGATATGTTTTAAAACCGTATTAAGTTCCATAAAGGAAACATACCCTCAAGTCATTCAAAGAGCTGGAGAGATTCCATGACTGAGAAGCCAGTTCCTCATCCGTAAAAGTTTTAGACGATTCATCGACAGGCAAAGGTTTCAATCTCACTTGCTTAGAGAATAACGAAGCCACCACTTGCCCATAAATTGATTTCAACTGTTCTATTTCAGCCATGCAAGGAGTACTGCTGCGCTACTTTGTAACTCTTTATGCATTTAACATCAGCATAAATCTGTATTCATGCATCAACAGCCCATGGACCAGAACAAAAGTAGCTTTCAATGGAAATTTATGAAGGAACTCGAGAATAAACTGCATAATTACATCCTAAAAAGCTTCGTTTGAAAAAAATCTCTTACCACAGACTGCATTTCCAAGAAGAAATTGAAAAAAGGAAAAATAAATTGTAACCTCAAACCAAACGACCACGACCCTAGCCCATCCCAAACTCATCTAAAGATTCCTGAAATTAATGTTTCCCTTCCATCTCGCTTAACCCACCAAGAATTACCTGAAATCAACATGAAGTCTCTAGTTTTCCCTATTACGTCAATAAAATATTACCTCTGATAGATCACATATAAGACTTTAAAAAAGAAAAGAAATATTTTTTTAATCAACACAACAGTGAGGCAATGAAATGTCAACAATAAATGTAAAATGTAAGCAGTGAGACAATATAGAGAAGTATCTTGCGAAACTGATCAAAAAGAAGTTAATAACATATCTGAATTCTGAAAAAGGAAAGCTATCGCCAGTAATTTAGAGAGGCAGTAAACAGCATGAAATTTTCTAAAAAAGTAAATTGCTACAAAAAAGAGAAAATTATTCAGAGATCAATTTATGTTAGCGAGTTTTTAAGCGCCATTATGGCTTCGTTAAGATGTTTTGATTCTGCCAACAGCGACGCTACCTGCAAATTTTATTGTGAAACTCCTGTAAATCTTTTTCATTTGGCTCGAAGGTTCCATTAAATTTCGTTTTTCGAGAAAAACTTTTGGACCAGAAAAATCGGGATAATATTTATATTAATAATGGACAAGTTCGAACTGGAAATTCCATAAATGGAAAGTTAGAACAACCGATTCGACAGAAGAAAGGTCTCCCCGAACATTTCATAATCTGAAACAAACAAGCTACTTACCTTTTCTGCGTTATTATTACGTATTCCAAGAGGCACTTTATTGTAAGTTGGACTAGACATTGTTTCTTCTAATTTCTGCAACTGTACTAATAGTTTCGCCTGTTTGTCTGTCAATTTCGTAATTTCCTTAGGAACATCAATTATACCCTATAAATGCCACAGCAATCATTGCATCGATTTAAACGTAATTTGAACCCTTTTGTTGTGAATACACTGTGACAGGATATTATACGTGAGAAAGACGATTTTTCAAAAATTAAAGCCAGAACCTCAAGCAAAAGTGAAATCTTGCAAGTTGCTGAAACAACAAGTTGCACAGAGTCTGGTGGTAATTGTTGTACTTTATCTGCAGTTATTAAGGAAATCTGAAAAGAAGCAGCATAATGGATACGGAAACTTCATGTGGTCTAATTCATTTTTTAAATGTTTTTTTTTTCGAAGATTATGATTTAGATTGTGGCAATCTGATATCCATTAATTAATGGGAAATAATGGGAAATCGGCAGAAAAGTATATAAAAGAATGAATGTGAAGAAAAGCAGGCCTTGGAAGAGGAAGTCAAAGTAGTTATTAACGATATAAGATCTTCCACTTCCATTAATTCTGAGTTGTCTTCAAAAACGATGCAAACTGAAATAGTTAACTTGGGAAAACCGATGGCCAATCAAAGTGATAAATGTAAAATTAATTCAAAGAAATATAAATGACCACAAACAATAACTGGGACTCGATATCACATGCAACCAAAAAGTTCGATGAAACTCACGTTCAGTTTTAACTTTAACTGTTAACCCATAATCGGAACGAAAAGAACGAACAGTTCTCACGATATGCATTGCGCGTGCCATCCGATTTTCCAGTGTTTCATCTCGGAATGGATACTGCAGAACAACTATATTGTGAGCTGTTTCATTCAAAAACAGAATCGAATTCGGAGAATAAGACTAAAGAAAAGACCTGTTCTGCTTCCGGATACGGTGCAACACAGACGCTTTCTGACTGCTGCTTTGATATACATGATGGTAATCGCTGCCAAAGTTCTTCAGTAATGAAGGGCATGAAAGGCGATAATAGGCGTAATCCTGTTTCTACACATTCAAAGAGCACCTTTCGTACAATCTCTGCACTATTAGAACGTTCTAAACATTAATAATTGAATTACAAAACAGAAACTGGAAAGTAATGAAACTGATGATTTTAACGAAAAACAGGACAAAAAAAGAAAGGAAGGTATGGGATACTTTTAAAATAGTTTAGACATTTTAAATGTCAAATTTCGTGAAGGACATATTGAAAGGACTGACCACCATCAGCAAGTATCGGTTTGCATCCTTCAATATATATATCACAAAAATCGTATTGCCAAAAATTATAGAGCGCAGTTGTAACGCGACTAAACTGATAACTAGACATCCCACTATTAGATAATTCAACAGCATAAGATAGTCGTGACATGATCCAACGATCCAACGTACTACTCTCTTCCGACAACTAAAAGGAATTAAATTTTTTTTTACCATACCAGCAAAAAAACTAGCAACCATGCTAGTCATCCATAAAATCTTCTAGATATATACTTTTATCGAAAAGCTTGTGCTTGTGAGCTCCACTTTTTAACATAATTCTCTGTTCCCAAGCGCTCAAACCCATGACACCGAAAAAACTAACATCTAATTTTTCCGCAGATGCGAAACTGCCATGAAGCTGCATCAGCGTGAACCTCGATGCTTGCCAGATTTTATTGCAGAAGAATCTGTACCCTTGAATACGAAGCACATCGAGATTGATATCCCGGCACTGACTAGTATAATTAATCA